GAAGATATTATGGCGAGAAGTGAGCTGATCATTGCAAAGGAGCTTCTCAAATTTTCTCAACACAAGAAGTTGTAGGTTGCAGTCTAACCACCTAACTTTGCAGAACTCTAACTGATCTAAGGTGACGAGTTGAGCCATGTGGCCTTTCAAACAATATGTCAAGAATGCAGTGCATTTGCATCGATTAATGGCTTTTTCGAAACGATTTAGAAGCAACCTTTTTCGGTGCGCTATTGTCTTCGATTAAGCTCTTGAACATCACTTTTAGGCTATTAGCACTCTTCAAGGAAACAATGTCGACCACCTGCAGTTAGTAGGTATACTCCAATAGTACTCGTCAGTTTCGCCTTATAGTCGAGCAAATGCGTTGACCGCAAAAGTACAACGGTAAACAGTTTTGAGAGAATGACAAAGGAGAGGTGTAACGCCACCATAATTCCCTCTATGGATTAAATTTAAGTGACGTGGTAAAAGCAATGTCACATTGCGGTCAAGATGTAGGCTGCTCAGCTTCTAAGTGGGACGGATTCACTCCTGAGTCGGGCAAAGGAAATTCGTTCTGCTGCTGGCAATACTAGATTGGGAAAAAAGTTTCCATCGCTTGATAAAACATTAAGAAATTATGCATATATTCAGACAACAAACAACAATATCTATTCTTCAACATGCAGGCCATCATTATCCCGTCACTCTTTGCCATCAGTCCGCCAGGTTTCGGATCTATCGAAGTACCATTCCTTCGGATTGAATCAGAGAACCCTTGACAGGCTTATTCAACTTCATCAAAAGATTCAATTAGTCCGGATCTCGATCTGTCGGTCAACTCTTCATTTTCCGCCTTCAGCTCACGAAATCGCTCGCGGACTGTTGATTCTCCAAACTTACGGTCGCCTCAAATTTTGTTGATTCTGCGAGCAGCATCAGCAGCATTTGAATCAAATTTGTACTCATAAAGCACCAACAAACGTTATATTCCGTGGACAATTCCATTCTGCAGCAGGTATAGACATATTATACATCAATAGATGCGCAAGAGATAGACCTCTGAAATCAAGTGAAAATCACACACAATTCATGCGAAAAAACGACATTCCCATCCAACGATGCTGATTTTCTTTTCAGCCTGATAATTTTTTTGCACTCAGTATAGCTTGAGAGAGCAGGAAGTACACAGCACCATGTACAGCATGCACATGAAGTATGAAGGCAATTTTTGTCGAGTAGAGCTTTCTCAAATATCTGTACTTTATACAGATTCAATGACGCAGCAATGAGTTCATCTTAGAGAAGAGCGGGTAGGCAACTATTGGAAGAATCAAGCCAAAAAATACATTCTGAGAACTTCGGTTTGGCATATGGCGTCCTCTGAGGTGAAATATTGGTAGCTATCTCAGTCTTTACACTCACGAGAAGAATCTTGTAACGACAGTTAGCTTTGTGTTCTAGCCGAGAACTCCGTGGGGCCGCTAGTGATCATATATTTCATTCCTTTAGTACCGACCACTAAGCTGCGTTAACATCCAGATACATATTTTTCCACAATCGCACGATATATTACTACTGCTTCGTACGAGTCTCATCATTCCTCGTAAATCGTTTTTTTTTGCTAGCCATATTCTTCTGAATGTAACGTGTCCATGATGTGTTTATCTAAGTGTTCGCACTGTGAATAATCTTAATATTAGTAAAACAGTAGAATTTGTTGAACCGATGTAGCTATAGTAGTATTGTAGATAACATCTCCATTCTATCTCTACCACACTGATTGTAAACGATAAGTATATCGTTACATAGCAAATATCTACACATCCAAACTGTGTGATGCAGTGGTAGAGGTGCTCGTTAAGACAAGCAATGAGCGTGATTTGAGTCCTGAGTTGACCAAAACTTCCACTTTATCACTTTATGGCAGCTCCAAAATTGACACCAGGAGTTGTCATGGATTGGCTGGCTACCTCTCTATACGCAGACACAAAAATTGCACGATTGATGTAAGAAAAGGATTAATGCACGCACATTAATGAACGGTAATGAACTTACTAGAGACGCTGCAACTGTCCGTGCCTGGCGCTGGCATGTCACCAAACATCAAAGACACGAAAGCCTAAAAAAGAGCCTCTATCAGAACGACAAAAATGTCTGCACAAAACAAGTGATTAGACCTTCGCACAGGTGATTCTGCTTTATTCCTAACCAAAGAATTATGCGTCGAAAAGGTCAAACACATCCACAAATTTATATCTGTGCGCTGCATGATAGACCATATTTATATGCAGCAAGTAGTACAACACACTATTCCGACTTAGAAATAAGTTATGCCTATGTCTTTGTCATGTTTCGAGGCTCTCAGTTCTCTTAGTTGTCAGAAAATTACTGTCTTTTCTGTGAGAGCCAGCAGTTCCTATTGATACGAAGTTCGGGGCGTAGTGCATGTCCAGCACACAAAATTAGGCATTAACAAAAGTGATCTTACTAGTATACGTCATTAGTAATTTTTTTTTGCATTTTTCAGCCAGAATTCTTTCTCGTGCATTTTCTTTTCGTAATGTTCTGCATTATATGAAGAGCCCGTAGCCGAGTAGTTGCGATGCTCGTCTCCACGGAAAAACTCAGCGCCCCCAACACTCTCTGGCATTTAACAACGAACGCCCAATGGAAGATCACAGTCAGGCTACCTTCGAGAGTGAAAGGAAACTAGCTTAACCAGTATTCTACAAAGTCCATGAAGAAGGGGAGACGAATTGAACGCTAGAAGTACTGGGATCCGCGCAGTAAAAAAAACGCTGTGAAGAAGGACAAGTAAAGTGCTGGAAAGTGCCAAACCTTTGTGATCAAAACATCTTGATACGACATCTCTACAATTACGTAGTGCCACTGCCGTGAACTGACACGAAACACAACCACCTTAATTGACATTTCTTTGTAACATGTAGTGAAGATAGGAAAACTAAGGTGAAAAGACAACTGGGCGCAATCAGGCAAAAGTGAGCTGCTCAATCCATCAAACAAAAGTAATCAATTGATAAAAGACGTAATTAAAGTGGTGAACGAGCAAGCATGCTATGTAATAATACTTCAGAAACCAAATCTAAAACTTCTCACAGAGTAGAAAACGTAATATTGCGTCTTACAGCACTGTTCGCTTGTAGAATTTGTGCATCTTCTACTCTATTGTAAAGCTGTTTGCTCATTTCCAGGTATCCTCTCAATGTCGCAGTATCACTTTTTATGCTCTCGTACTGGTATACTGCATTATTACTGTTTAGACATAGATATACATGGGGCATATAGCAAACATATAAGTATTTAATGAGCTTTATATATATATATATGACGTTATCATTAGGGTATATAACATATTATCAGAATGTACAGTATGTTGTATATGACAATGTATAGAATGTGGATTTACTACTTTTGTTAACGAAATGCTGTACATAGATATAGATCCATAATTCACCTACTAAGGCTTGAGATTCGTTCTATGAGAACACTAAAAAGTGTATGATGTAAATCAGCTTTGCATTAACGTCGACATAATCACTCAATCAAACAATCCGATAGAATGTTCCAGACCTCTCAAGAGGTCTGGTATGGCATCTCTAGTGTTAGACGTACGCTTCGGCTTTTTCGCAATGCTGATGAGTAGCACATGTCTTTTGGTCCACCTCTACAAGTACGATTAGCGGTGCCGAAAATGTGTGCTTCCAAGTCAAGTGAAAAGATCACTTGGTGTTACAGTCTACAGTGACTTTCAACCAATGATTTACGGCTGGTAAAAACGGCATATAGCAATAGTTAGGCATTTTTCTCATAAATGTGTTGAAGAACTATGATTCAATATTGTATCCCGACAGCATTTAGTCCCTATTACATCACGCTCGGCGAAGTTGTATCATACTTGGGTGCATGAATAATTGCTGATACATGGATAGGTAAGTCGTGGCATATAATTGCACAAATCAGTTATACATTTGTTGAAATTTATGACGCTACGATTTGAGTCAAAAGCACGAGGCATCATTTAGCAATGATAGAAACCAATAACTTCATTTCTTATCTACCTTGTCACAAAAATTTCGCGATTTTTATATCTCATTAATACTGAGTGGTGGGAAATGCCACCAGATAGAAAACTGTAGTATAATCAATGGATTTCATTTCTAAACTATGTTACCCTGAAACAAGAGCAAGTTCAGTAAAATTAACACCTAAGAGACGACGTTTATCATCTGAGATACATGGTTGCTTGGAAGCTTTTCTCGAAAGACAAAAGCTTTCTCTCATCTGATTGGTAATCATTCGAAAGCTCAAATCTCTGCCATTTCAATAATATGAACGGTTTTTTTTGAAAACGTATAATATATTTTCAGCAAAAACAAGATTATATTTCAAGCTCAATTTGCGGTTCTTTTCCCGTTTGCTATGCGTAGTACTTTAGAGATCAAAACTAATTATTGAAGGAATAGCGAGCGTATGATTGCGTCTCCCAGCATCGTTCATTTGTGAAATTTGTGCATCTTTTACCTTCTGGCAAAGTTAATCGCTTTTCTCTAATCCTCTCACGTAACCTACTGTCACCTAATAAATAAATATATATATATATATATATTTAATAAACATATATACGGAAAATATGTAACATTATCGTTAGTATATATATAGCATATTATTACTACATAGGATGCGCAAGATATAGCACACATACAGCATGTAAATATATTATTGTTCTTGTAATATTCCCAATATATACATATATATATATATATATATATATATATATATATATATTGCACAGCACTCTGCAGACACTTGGGTATATTATAAAATCATACAACCGCAAGGGGCGGTCAAATAAATGATATCTGATTGATTAGTGATACCCAATATATGTCAGCATAAGTGGGTTCAATGCCGATAGCGGCTGCCTCGCAAAACCTTCGACGTTGGCTATTGACAAATAACGCGTTGTAGCTTAGAAAGAGTGCTGTGCAAAACGAGCGTTGGTGGTGCAACGGTTCAACACGCGTTCCCGGAAAGAGTGAGATTTGGGTTCGAGTCCCGGCTGACACACGTGTTTTGCCACAACACTCTACAGACAGTTGAGTGTAGTATAAGATCATAGCACCGCAAGAGGCGGTGAAATAAATGGATTCTGATTTATTATAATATTGTTGTCATCGAAACGCTATTTATAGTGGGTCACGTTCAGCGACCCAAGTGTGAGTTTTGTTTCATGAGGTTGATAAAAAGTGTATGATATGACGAATTCCAATTAAAGTCGGCGTAATTAATAACGTCGATAATCTGGTAGAATGTTTTCGGCCTCTTAAAAGGTCTGGTATGGCATTTCTAGCGCTAGGATTACCTTCTATGCTTCTCGCAACCCTTTCAAGTGGCACATGCTTTCTCGGTTCACCCCTACAATAAAGAGTAGCGGCGCCAAACATATATGACTTCATGTCAAGTAAAATCATCAAGTGATCTTGCGGTGCCAAATGATTTTCAGTCAATGACTTGCGGATAGTAGAAACGGCGTATCGCAGTAGTTAGGCATATCCGCCATACATTCCAATTGCTTACGTTCTCCAAAGAAACTCATGAGGCAATATATGGAAAATAATTGAAAATAATACAATCGAAATTTCCTCACGGTTAACGAACGAGATCTCCTTCAACTGCGATGAGTGGCGTCGGTCCCGTGTCCTGCTGCTTTCTGTAGCACATCGTTGCTGTGCTTGGCTAAAATGAAAATACCATTTCTCTACTATCACAATGTAGATCATATATATATATATAATATCTATACATATCTATACATACATTTAAATGTATAAGCACATATATATAAATATTCATAATAACAGTGAGTTTGAGAAATATATTAGTAGGTTATGACACACTTCGATTACTTGCTTTTCAAATAATCTAGTGTCCTTTCCTGTTGCAAAGTTCGCGTCACATTTTGCGCCTTTAGTGGAAGTCATGGCTTGACTGAATAGCTCATAACTCGGCAAAGATATTACGTCATTTATATTGAAATCACATACGTGGCACAAAACAGAAATACTGGAAGAAGCACAGAAAGAAGTTGGACAAAGTTTGCAAGTCTAATAAGTAAAGCAGAATTCAACTTTTCCAAACCAAGAGAGATCGTTTTTGACTATCAAAATCACGATAGTCAAAGAATGAAACAGTGAAATTATGAGACATCAAAAGTCATTAATAGTTTCTCATCATCTCAATTTTGTAAATCTTTGGTCATTAGTAAAATAACAGAGATCTTTGCTTGGATAATTGAAAATGATAAAATGCATAACTAGATCTTACGATTACAAAGTTCTACGTAAGATCGTGCGTGCTAGCTACGTTGATGATCAAAGATTTACAAGACCAAGATGACGAAAGACTACTAAAGACTTGATAACGATCCTTTTGCCCAGATAATAAGCTGCAACTTCAGTTTACAAATGTTTGTCTATCCTCAGTGACCTCTGAAATTCACTGCTGAAAAAAATAAATTTTTGCATCTGTTGCAGATTAATGGGAATTCCAACCAACTTGGCGCTGTTTTTCTATAAAAATCGCGAGCTATGCTGCACCGATTCAAACTCTCAATATACCTCCTATAGAGTATCTCTAATAGACAAAATTCTAACATGTTTACCCAGAAAATATTTGGATTAATTGCAAGAATTCAGTCAACATACCATATATGCCAAGGTGTCTTCTACTCGTTGACATTTTATGCACTGACCATGTCGCTGTAGATGTGACCATGTGTCACTGTTCGCTTGTAAAATTTCGCACTGCAAATACAATAGCCATTCAACTATGCTTGCTAGGTAGTCTAAACAAACATCATTCGAGTAGCAGCTTACCGTCCTCTCTCGGAGGCTGAAGATCCGCTTCAGTGTTTTCAAACCTAGGATAGATTTTTTTCAAATTCGAAAGCACAAGAAGCAGATAATCCAATATCCAAGATAATTAATCCGTCAGTTACAAATCTAGAATTTTCCTTCCGTCTGATAACAAGACCCGACCTTGTGACGACTGGTTGGGCATGCAACGAATGCGCTGTGACTGTGAGGCTCACGTTCTTCTTTTGCATTTTTCCGAATAGTGAGTACGACGACGTCGTGTCTTCAAATTAAAAGTGATAAGCTCGGTGAAAATCTCAGGTAAGTTTTCATCGTTTCGTAATCTTCTTGCAAGATTAGAATTTGAAGCAAAAAGTAGTGCTATTGTAGCGGTTTATTTCACACTTCCACTTTTCGCTATTTCTCACTTTAAGCGAGTTACCTTCACCGGATAAAATTCATTATTTGATCAGAGAATTTATGTAAGGATTTCTGAAACAATGACGTCCTAAGCTCATAAACACACTGCATCAATGAAAACCAACTTGCTAAAAACAAAATCTTTTCTGAATGTCAAGGATCAACACTTCGTGGAACGTCAAGGACCACACCAAACCTAACCACACAGAAATAAACACCACGTTGGACACTAACCTTTTTCGCCTCGCATCTATTCTATAACCGCCTCAAGAACTGTGACACGTTGTCAACGGTTTCCATCATCCTTGTGATGTTTGCACACTTCTCTTATAGCGCTGAAACAAAAGAAAGAGGTGACTTTGAAATCCTCTCCAAAGCCACTATTTAGAGAAGCTCATAATCTAATAAATGCCGATTCCGCCCAGGAAATAAGTTTACTTCAAATATATATCTGAGCAAGTGCATTAGTTGAAGAACAGTTACCAAGCTGTGCAACATATAAGGACAACGTTCAATAAGGAAGTCATGCAATGAGAAACACTTCTTTGAAAGTGTTGTTGAGGACTCAATGACGGAGCAAGAAAATTGAGAAAAACAAGAAGAGCGCGATGAAATAGAATGAGGGGTCAAAGCGGAAAGAGCAGCAGTTTGCGTGCCTAAACTCTACAGTAGGCCTAAGTCATGCAATTCACTTCCGGTAAAAGGAATTGACGTAATCCAAGTACCACAATAGGACAACAGCGCAGCTTGAAATGGATGGAAAACTTATTGAAATATTCTCACTTGTGCGTCCCATTATTGATGTTTGATCGTACCCATTTTTAGGCGCGCACGAATGCTTTCTAATGCACCGATCAGATTACTGCAAGATCACCGACCACACTTGCTAAATGCGTTGATTCAGAAAAACCTAATTGGCTGAAATTAATTATGCCTTGATTAGGAAATATAACAAATTTATCAAAAGAATGTCGAGATATTCGCCATTGTGTTTCGGCATATTCTGCGTCCTTCCCATTTTCTGATAGGAAGAAGTAATTAAATTTGTTCTACTGAACACTGAACTGTGATTATGACGCGAAGAAGACACAGCTTGAGTATCTGCAGTAGTAGAAATGGTCTTCGAACTAGAATTCGCGAACTAAGAGTTTGGAAGTGAAGGCATGCTATTCGTAGGGAAGGGTTTGTAAGGGCGACATCTCGTTGGGTTTTTCGCTGTCACATTGCTTGGATATCACACTTACCTAAAAGATGCGAAAGAACCGTACATCAACACAAGTGACCTTAGTAGAGGATACCCGTTAAGTATTTGGTATGTTTGGTTTTGGTTCATGAGCCCTTCTTCACTAGCATATTCAAGTATGTCTTCAGGAAGGGATTCTCCAGTGCTTTGACATCTTGCACTACAATCGTATTGGCCTGAAAACTGTCCCAATGTAGATTTGCAGCACTATATAAGTAACGAAATAATGAAAGGTGAGTGGAGAAGACATTTCAGGGAATGATCGACGACTTTGAAAAAAGAATTCTTTGTCATTTTAGGGAGAAAACACACAATGTGCGTGTCCTCCTGCGATTCACGCTCATTCTTGTGCTCCCTGACCTGGTCTTCTGGCATATCTACAACGCCTTCACATTGTACGTGACAATTAGTAGTGTTATAGTAAGTGTTAAAGAGTAGGATCAAGATTTATGGCTAAAAGTGAGCCGATCATTGCGAAGGGGCATCTCAAACTTTCCTCAACACGAGAAGTTGGAAAGTTTTAGTCCCACCTGATTTTCAGCGATTTCTGCGGAGAACAAAAGGTATAGCGATGGAGAACTACCAAAATGTGTCGTGTAAATCCACTTGATCTAGGGTCAAGGGTGGGGAAAATGTTTATTTCAAATAATATATCAGAAAAGCAGTGAATTTGTATGGTATAAAGACTTTTTGAAAAGAATCAAAAGCAACTCTCTTCGTAGTGCTATTGTCTTTGATTAAGAATTTAAATGCCAGTTTTGTTCCACTGACACTATTAATGAAAATAACGTCGACGAAGCATGGCTTAACAGAAATTTCCCACAGTGCCTATCAATTTCCTCTTACAAGCGCCAAATACGTGGACCACAAAAGCGCGACGGTAAACACTTTTTGAGAGAAAGACAAAAAAAGAAATTGCAGCGGCACCATAAGCCCTTTTGTAGATTGAAATAATGGATATAGTAAGTGCAATGTTACGTTGCAGTCGAGATGTAAGCTGCGCACTTTTATGTGGGATGAATTCACTGCTTAGTCGGCAGAAGGAAATTCGCTTTGCTACAGACAATAGTTTTCTGTGCTCAATACAACTTGAGAGAGAAGGTGGTTGATGCACACGGCACACGTACAACACTTATGAGGTATATAAAGAATATTTGTCGAATAGAGCTTAGTCAAATATCTAAACTTTATACAGATTCAACGACGCAGTGATGAATCTATTTCAGTGAATTACTAGTAGGCAACCATTGTCAAAGTCATACCTATAGATGCAATCTGGGAATTTCGGTTTGACATGTGGTCATTTGTGAAGTTAGAAGATTGGTAGCTATCATGTCATTCCTTACACCCACGACAAGATCTTGCAAAAGCAGTGAGCCTTGCGTTTTTCACGAGAACTCCGTTGGGCCGCTAGTGCCCAATTATTTACTCCCTTTAGGAACGAGCACGAAATTTTTGCACTTTTTGCATAATGTACTCTTTTTTGCTTCGTACGAGTTCCATTGTTTCTTATAACGACTTCTCTCTTGCTGACTGTATTGTTCTAATTC